TTAGACTGCGAAACCTTCCTAGGCCTCAATTTTCTCATCTGGAAAATAGAATCCTACCTCACAGGGTTGTTATGATGATTAAATGAGAAAATGATTGAAAGTCTTTAGAATTAGTACTTGCCCACATGGTAAGCATTGGAAAAAAATGTTACTGTATTTGTTTTGGAATTTTTACTTGGAATCTGTAACAATGACTATTCTACTTTATACCGATGAGTACTGGGGATTTCCCCTCCATTCCTCTTATGCTACACAAACCTAAAGAAACCAATAAATTTGTTGTTTTTTGTTTGTTTGTTTGTTTGTTTGTTTGAGACAGAGTTTCTCTCGTTGCCCAGGCTGGAGTACAATGGCGTGATCTTGGCTCACCACAACCTCTGCCTCCCGGGTTCAAGTGATTCTCCTGCCTCAACCTCCTGAGTAGCTGGGATTACAGGCATGTGCCACCACGCCTGGCTAATTTTGTATTTTTAGTGGAAACGGGGTTTCTCCATGTTGGTCAGGCTGGTCTCAAACTCCTGACCTCAGGTGATCTGCCCGCCTCGGCCTCCCAAAGTGCTGGGATTACAGGCATGAGCCACTGTCCCCAGCCAAATTTCTTGTGGTTTTTAATCTTTACTATTGCTTAAAAAATTCATTGGTATGTGTCTATTTTTTTCATTTATTACAAAACTCATTTAGGAGAAAACATATATTTGAATGTATAAAAGGATTTTTCTCACAATTGAGATCAATTTGTTATATTGACATTATTTTCTATAAATTCAGTTCTCTTAGACACAAAGAGCTGACTGCTTTTGGGTTGGTAAAGGATCATAAATTGGTTATCTAGACACCACTTAATGTTCTCATATCCTTTGTAAATTGTATTAGGCTATATAATATGTAGAATGTTTGACATAACATAATAAGTTTATTCAAAATAACAGTTTTTCAGAAAATCTTTACAGAAAGTATTACTAATCACTGGCAATATTGTGACCTTAAATGCTAGATAGCATTCCACATTTTAAAACCTGCATGTTTGCACCTTTAAATGTCCATACAAAGTGATCTAATGCTGATTTTTGAAATTAGAAAGGACATTAAAACAGTAATATAGGGATAGAGCAAAGAGGAGATACTATACTCACCTCTTTGATTCCCTTTAGTCACTTTAAAATAAAACAGAGCCCCCTATTTAGGAAATTGCCTATTCACAAAATCTTGGAGTCGCAGGGTAGGGGACAGTTTATATACAATGAAGCCTTAGAGAATCATGGGTCAGAAAAAGCACTGGGGTGTGGTAACTGATCCTTTGATTTATATTATTTGAACAGAGGAAATGGAGATAAGGTTTCCTTCAGCGGGTGTAGGATTAAATTTTGCTGTCTGAGGAAGGGGCTTGATGAGAGACACAACAGAGATGTGAGTTGATTTATTTGCCATTATTTTACATTTGAGCAAGAAATTTATACCCACCACCCACATTTAGAAATATAGGAGTTCATATGTGTGGTTGATCTTTATTAAGTTCCACAGATCTCCCCAGTGTATTACTCTGATTTTAAAAAAATCATTGAACTGTAACAAAGGATGGACAGTGGATAGCTTGTGGAGGTAAAATAAAGTAAGTTAGACTGATGTTGGTTTCAGAACTTAAATCTCAGTCATAAGTATAGGGCTCTCGTGATTCAAGGCCGAGCTTGTAAATTAAGCTGCTTTAAAGGAAGTGTTGGAGATAGGAGAAGTGAATTAGAAATATAAAAACAGAGCTGGGTTAGGTGGCTCATACCTGTAATCTCAGCACTTTGGGAGGCCAAGGAGTTCAAGAACAGCTTGGGCAACAGGGCAAAATACCACCTTTACTTAAAAAATTAGCCGGGCATGGTGGTGCACATCTGTAGCCCTAGCTACTTGGGAGGCTGAGGTAGGAAGATTTCTTGACCACAGGAAGTCAAGGCTACAATGGGCTGTGATCACTGCACTCCAGCCTCCTGGAAGACGGGGCAACAACTTGTCTCAAAAAAGAAAACAGGCTTTTTTTTTTTTTTTTTAATTTATTTAAATGGAAGAGCACAAAGATAATTGCAAAATTCATAACCAAAACTGGTTTTGGCAGTGTGTTCCCACCCTCTCCCCATTCCTCTTTTTCCAGTTGTTTATAAAATTCTTCCTTAAAGTGTTTGATAGAAATACTTGAATGTCATTTAAATATAAAGTGGAATTGCTTTAGTTTTCCTGATTCTGGCACCTAGTATGTCTTACCACCTGAGAGGGGACAAAATTTTTATTTTCTTAAAAGTAGAATTAAAAAGACATGTACACATAATTTTCTTACAATTTAAGACATTTCCTTTTTGTAAATATCTTGCCTTTTATGCCATTTATTGGAGATCTCTAAATTGTATTAGAGAATTTTATATTTTAGTCATAAAGTACATCTTGTAAAAATTGCTAGTATAGATTTTAAATTTTCAAACTATTGAAAACTTTCTGGGATTTTTTTTTTTTTTTCCTTTTTCTTCAGGTAATACTGACAGCATCTAACTTCACTTTTCTGCCACAGGGTGGTGTACAATACTTACTGTCTGAAATTCTGTTTGGTGACTTCAACAGCCTAATAGAACCCAACTTAAAATAGAATGTTGTAGAAGTTCACTTTGGGCACTAAAATAAATTGTTGTATGAGAGAAGATAGTCCTTATAGAGGGGTCCAATTTTTATTTAAAGGGGCTCTAAGGGGTTTTCATAGGGAAGGCAGTTATATTGAGTTATTAAAACATTTGGAAACACTTTCAGACTTATTACAATGTTGCAAGAATAAGAATAGTACAAGAAATATCCATATACCCTTTATCAGGATTTACTTATTGATCTTCTATCCCATTTGCATACTAACTTTTTATATATGTATATTTTTCAATGAAACATTGGAAGCTAAGTTATATACATCATGACACTTTTCTCTATATGTTACACTGTGTTTTTCCAAGAGAGAGATACTCTATTATGTAACTGTAACACAGTATCAACTTGAGTAAATTTAACATTGATACAATACTTTTATCCAGTTCCCCATCAGTATTTCAGTGTGTCTTTTGACTCAGTAATGACCTTCATAACAATTTCCCTACCAGTTCAGCAGTCTCAGGTCAGTTATAACATTTAATTGTCTTGGCTCTTTAGCAACCCTTGAACCTGGAATAGATCCACAGCCTTTGTATTTTGTAACAATGACATTCAACTTTCCTTAACAGAACATTACTTATTTCCATTTTGAGTTTGTCTGGTGATTCTTCATAATACAGGTTTATATATTCTCAGCCAGAATATTATATAAATGATATATCGTCCTCAGAGTATTACATATATCCATCCTCCTCTTACTGGTGATGTTACATTATATTTTGAAGTCTTTTTTTTTTGTTTTGTTTTGTAAATTTAGATGTGTATGTTTAGAAGAATAATTAAATGCAATTCTAGGATGTGTAAAAGCAAACATTTTTCTCTCAAGAAACGTACTTACACTAATGCTCCCAGTAGGTAAAATCTAATTTGACTGGAAGGTTTGAGGTAGCACATTTTAACTTTAAACCTTGCAAAGCTCTTAATGTAGTATACTGGCATTTAATCTGTCCCTGGATTGCCAAGGAAAATTGTTGATACCCTCCTTGGGACCTGCCAGTCATTCTGGTGAATGAATAAAATCTGAGTAGGTGAAGTTGGAGAGAAGTGTAAAACACTGAGATATCCCAATTATAAATTTCTGATGTCATAATTAACAGCAAAGCCAAATAATTTTGTATTCTCTGAGTTTGGGCTTTATTAGTGCAGTTTTAATACAAAACAAACATATAAGTGCCAGAGGTGCTGACTGTAAAGAATATTGTAAACTTCTCAAAGAAATGATCACAAGTCTTTTTTAATCCTTTGGTTATTTGACGGATTTGTTACTGTTAATGGACACAATTTTGTGAATAGGAAGATTTCCTAAATATTGCTGGTATGTTATCCTTAGGATGTGTATAAAAATTCTTAGAAGGTGATAGAGATGCCTATTTTGAAGAAAATGGTCACATAGCTCATTTGAATATTTATAATTTCTTGACCTTTTTGCTGAAAAGTATATTAAGATGGTATAATGCTAAGAAAGCACATTGTTGGCCGGGCGCGGTGGCTCAAGCCTGTAATCCCAGCACTTTGGGAGGCCGAGATGGGCGGATCACGAGGTCAGGAGATCGAGACCATCCTGGCTAACCTGGTGAAACCCCGTCTCTACTAAAAAATACAAAAAACTAGCCGGGTGAGGTGGCGGGCGCCTGTAGTCCCAGCTACTCAGGAGGCTGAGGCAGGAGAATAGTGTAAACCCGGGAGGTGGAGCTTGCAGTGAGCTGAGATCCGGCCACTGCACTCCAGCCTGAGTGACAGAGCAAGACTCCGTCTCAAAAAAAAAAAAAAAAAAGAAGGCACATTGTTTTGCAGCTGTATTCCAGAACATAGTGAATCGAAACTTTTTTACATGATCTTACATTTAATCCTTTTACTTTGATTACATCTGTATATTACATATAAAATATGTATTTTCCACATACTGTAGACATCAAAGCATTTGAGGTATGAAATTAAATGAATATAAAGTAATTTGAATGCCAAAATGCTCATTAAATTAAACAATTGAACTTGAAAAATTATTGGTTACTGCTGTGAGTTGTGATTCCTCCTATCAGCTACCCTGCAGAGTATTGGAAGGGAGAAAAAATTACTTCCATGTTCCTTTCAGGTTTGCCCCTTGATTTTACAAAGAAGTGTACTGCTTAAATTGCTAGTAGTTTCTAGCTGCTGCTTCTGACACTTGAATACATGTTTCTGAGTTTCCAGAGTACACTGAATAACACCCTGGGAGCTTAGAAGAATTTAGCCTGTCTTCCCTAGTGCCTAACTTAATTCTGGGAACCTGGGTAGTAAATATTACATGATTGAATATAGTTTTACAAGTTGATCTTATTTTCATTTCCCAGGCAAGACATCTGTATAGATTCTGCTTCATCCATGAGAGAGAATAAGCAACCTGAAGGTTTGGAATTAAAACAAGGTATGAATCAAGTACTTGATTATTATATAAAATTTACCTGAAGAATAGAATCATTTTACCAATAATAAATTTTCAGTGTCTAACTCACCCCATTTTACAGATAGAGGAAGAGAGCAATTTATTTGGTCAAAAATCAGAAGTGTAAAGAATATATCCTTTACTTCATGATTCTTTTAGCTACTGGAGTGACTATATTTTGTGATGTATAGTTGGTTACAGAAGCCACCAGAAAATGTTTTATCATCTTGAATAGTTTTATTTCAGTAATTTATTTTATTTTATTTTATTTATTTATTTTTGAGATGGAGTCTCGGCCTGGCGCCCAGGCTGGAGTGCAGTGGCACGATCTCGGCTCACTGCAAGCTCCACCTCCCAGGTTCATGCCATTCTCCTGCCTCAGCCTCCCAAGTAGCTGGGACTACAGGTGCCTGCCACCACGCCTGGCTAATTTTTTGTATTTTTAGTAGAGATGGGGTTTCACCGTCTTAGCCAGGATGGTCTAGATCTCCTGACCTTGTGATCCACCTGCCTTGGCCTCCCAAAGTGCTGGGATTACAGGTGTGAGCCACCGTGCCTGGCCTATTTCAGCAATTTATATATCATCAGCTACAAGACATTGGAGATACGTTAACTGGGTAGCTTTGGGTTGTATGTGGAAAAAAAAAAAAGTAAGTTTTATAGGATAACGTTTTTCCCCCTGAGGTATTTTGTCCTTGTTTACTTACTTTCTTCCTTATTTATTGCTTTCTTTAAATCAGTTTTTGTCATTACCAGCTAGCAGAAATAAAGTGGTAATTTTAATTTATTCAAGCCAAGTACATTAGTAGGGCTAATCTTTTAAACGCCTTTTTTGCTTCTTTTTTATCTTTAGTAGGAAGAATTGAAAGTAAAATAAGTTTTTATTAGTTACTCAAATGCCAGCTCACATTTGTTTCTGATAAAATTAATTCAGAGCAGTAAAAATTTATTGCAGCCAAGAAGATTAGGTTATCTATCATGTAATCACCTAATCTTTGATGGCTTAGAATAGTTTCTCTAAAATATGAGTCATATGAACGTATTTGGTAGAGAAAAACAAGTCGCTATTTAGGCAGAATTTTTTAAAAAACTGGTCTTTTATTAATGCTTAATTTAAAAAGTGGAAAAAAAGGTTAGATAATGAATTTAGTGATTTGTTCAATTTATATAGAGAGAGCAAAATCTAGATTTTCTGTATTTCTGATTTATTTACTGTAGGATTTATGAATATTTGATTGTTCCGAAAATTCCCACTGCTCTTCAAAAGTTCTGTTGTGATAACCTCATATATAGCCAGACAAAATTACGTGTTTGTACTCTGACTTCTTCTGAGCACCCCCATAAACTCAGATTCATAATTTAATTGACATTTATTTGTCATATATAAATACACGCTAAACACCTATTATTTTATATAATATAATCATATATTATCTTACACCTCATGTATAATTAGATTACATCTCATGTATCATTAGACTACACTGCTACTGTTTCTTCTTTGTTTCTGCTCTTTGTATCAAATGAACAGGCAGTATAGAGGATATGCTGTTAGATCATCTGAGGAGAAGAGAATGTTCTATGAAGGATAAGAAAAGCTAGTGGAGACCACAGATTAGCCATTGTTACCTTATAAGAGAAGATGTTTTTCTTTTCGCATGTTCACACACTCAGAGTTCTTTAGAACTCCCTTCCTAGTGTCAACAGCCTGATTTGCTGTGATTTCTTATGAGAACTTCAGTCATGTGAAAAACCAGTCATGAAGGTGCAGAGAGGGAGAGAAGAAGACCTCCGACGAGCCAGATTTCAAAAGCCCAGGCCTTTTATGCTTAGGAACCTGCACCACACTCAGGTCCTCATTGCGGTATGAGATATTAAGAACACATCAAGCAGAGTTGAGAAGACGTAAGATCAAAGTGTAGCAGTACCATTGTACAATACAGTTCATGCTCATGTTGTGACTAAATCTATAGGAAATAGTTAAATTAAGTTTTAACCTTTTTTTTTTTTTTTTTGAGACAGAGTCTTGCTCTGTTGCCCAGGCTGGAGTGCAGTGGCGCAATCTCGGCCCACTGCAAGCTCTGCCTCCCGGGTTCACGCCATTCTCATGCCTCCTGAGTAGCTGGGACTACAGGCGCCCGCCAACACACCCAGCTAATTTTTTTTATTATTATTATTTTTAGTAGAGATGGTGTTTCACTGTGTTGGCCAGGATGGTCTCAATCTCCTGACCTCGTGATTTGCCCACCTCGGCCTCCCAAAGTGCTGGGATTACAGGCGTGAGCCACTGCGACCGGCTAGTTTTAACCTTTTTAAGAAAAGCAGGGAATTAAAATCTTTTGGAAGAGTATCTACAAAATGATTAAAATATAAAATGTTTTATTTCATAATGGATAAACATAAGTTACTTAGAATATTTATTTATGGAGAACATCTTCCAGATAAATATTAGTATAGCTGAAATCTGAACTAGATAGTAACTTGCGTGAAGTTACCAAACAAGCTGAGAGGTATATCAAGAAATAGACATCCTGATAGGCTCAATAAAGATTATTCCCTTTTTTCTAATGCACTAATATTTTCTATTTGTAACGTGCATAACCTGCAACATCTAATATCTCTAACTTTTCTTGCCTAGCTAGCTATTTTTGTTCACAGTGAGCTCAATAAAAGCAGAATATAAGCTCCTTGTGAATGCACTGTCATTTTAATGGCTTGACCAGTTGAGAAAATTCACTGAAGCTTATTTAGTACAAAAGTAACCTTTTGTTCAGTAGACCAAAATATAAAGCAGCATTGAATTTTCTTTTTGCTCTTTCAGAATAAAATAAATCATATCGTGACCTATTAATGGTATATGAGTTATTTAAATTACATTATCAGTAGAGCATTTAAAATACCGAAGTATTACTTGAATAATACACAAGTATTAATTATACATTAAGTTGAAATTGGCATTTTCTTGTCTAGTGCTGGTTTCATTTGTCTTTGTTGCTAGAAAATATTTTTGAAACCGGCAGTGCTGAAGATGAGTATCAGATTGTACACTAACTTCCACTGCACTTTAATAATGGACTAATAAAAGGAACTACCTTTACAATGAAAATGTTATTTAAATGTAAATATAATCTGTTGGTTCAATGATTGGAACTGTAGTAAAACAGAAACTCTTCTGTTAGAAATTCTTTCTTTCTCTCTTTCTTTTTATTTTTTTGCCCTGTCGCCTAGGCTGGAGTGCAGTGGTGTGATTTCAGTTCGCTGTAACCTCCACCTCCTGGGTTCAAGCAATTTTCTTGCCTCAGCCTCCCAAGTAGTGGGAATACGGGTGCCCACTACCATGCCTGGCTAATTTTTGTATTTTTAGTAGAGATGGGGTTTCACCATGTTGGCCAGGCTGGTCCCGAACTCCCTACCTCAGGTGATCCACCCACCGTGGCCTTCCAATGTGCTGGGATTACAGGCGTGAGCCACTGTACCCGGCCAGAAATTATTGCTTAAATAATTTCAGTCAGAATGCAGTTGTATAAGAAACATCAGTTATAGTTTTTACTCATTAGCACAGCTATAGCACGTTTGTAGGTACACATGTGCATGCACATGTACCTGTGCAAGCTCACATGTGCAAGTTTGAGATCTTATGTTAATTTCCTGGAGGATTTCAGAGATTGCTGCTTTTCAAATAATGGTGGCTTATATAAATTTTCTGAATTGGTCAGTTGTGCTATAGTTAAAAACTTTGTTGAAGGTATTTCATTTGTAGAAAATACTTTAAAAATATCAACTATCTGCTAATGTTAAGTTTACTGCAGACATTCAGCAATGGTAAAATATTGGTCTGTATTTAAATTGTTGCTTTAAAGTTTACAATTGGAGAAGTATGTCGTTTTGTGAACTGTTTTACTTTGTAAATTCAAAAATTCAGTTCTTATGGTTTGTATTTTTTCTTGGAAGTTTTCATGAGAAAAATTTTAAAACTATACATGAGAAATAGCTTTGTTAAGTTAGATTGAAGAGTTGAGGTTTATAGTTGTTGCTGTTAAATATTTGAAGTACTATTAAATGGAAGCGTGATTAGATTTTTTCTATATGGCCTTGGAGAAGAAAAAAAATAGAACCAATAAATAGCATTATCATTAGACAAAATTTTTTGGTCTAACGCAGTGGACTGCCTTCTAAGATGTTTCTGATGCTGAACGTTTTGGACACAGGCCACATATATAGCCATGTGGTGGTGCTGTTGTAGAGGATTCAAGCAATGGTTGGCTGTTTGGCCTTGGTCTTCAAGTTCCTTTCTAGCTGTCAGGTTTGGTTAAGACCAGTGCCTCGTGCATTGTTTGTGCTTAGGAAGAATGGTTAATAACTGTTTTCCTAAATTGTTTAATGGAAGCAATGTGAAATATCCCCTTTTTTTTTGTTATCTCTACATTTTTTATTCTATCGGAAGAAAAGAAAATGTGTTTGATTTAGTCTTTGATTTGTTTAATGGTTCCTTAAAATATATTCATTTGAATACAGTCATTAAAATAAATAATATAATTAAATGGTGTATAAAATGATCAAAGTCAATGAAGATATTTACTACATCTTATTTTGAATATTTGTACATTAACTGTCTCATGTGAGAATCTTTTCCTTAAAGACATGCAAGCACAAAATATGCACACAGAGTTTTGCTTTAAATAGGTTCAAACCCTTCTCCCTTTTAAAAAAATTATTAGCCAGGCTCATACCTACAATCCCAGCGTTTTAGGAGGCCGCGGAGGGAGAATCACTTCAACCGAGGAAGAAGGTTGAAGCTGCAGTGAGCCATGATTGCACCACAAAGATTTCAGTATTTTGAGAGAAATGTTTTAAGTACTCATTTTACACATTCTGTCCTGTGATGTGTATCATAGGATCTTAGACATACTCCTAAGGCATCTACTTTGGAGGTCACATAGTGTAAACCTTCAATCATTATTGGGACACTGGGTTCTTTTTAG